CAAACTTAATTCATTTTCTTAATATCTATATATAACTAAAGGCAGTACATAAATACATGTGAGTTCAGCTGAACAAGGCACCAAGAGTGAAGCCCGTCTAGCTCAGTCGGTAGAACGCAAGGCTCTTAACCTTGTGGTCGCGTGTTCAAGCCCCATGGTGGGCGATTGTTTTTATGATTAATCATGTTTAACAAGTATAAGAATATTAAACTTGCTTTTATAACATTGGGGAGCTTGAACCTGAAGCTTGAGAGGGCATAAAATATGCATATATAAGACAACCACAAAAAGTTAAGGTTGTTCTTACCGGTTGTCAGGTTGAGGGTCAATGATGTCGGCAACATAGCCGTTGCCTTTGTTCCTGGACATGCAGACACAAGGACAAACGATGAATCAAAACAGACGATGGAAATTAAGAATGATCTTAGGACTGAAAAACCTATGCATTAAATTTGAATATCCAACAAAGAAACAGTACTTACACACACTGGCTCTTGTCAACACAGTCACAGTTGCCACACTTGTCCGACATGATGATTATATTATATGGATGGTTTCAAAGCTTGTGTGTATCTGTTGTGGTTGATCAGCTGTTATGTTTCCAAACCTCTAAATATGATGCAGTATTTATAGAGGAAGAAAGTGATGAGATGCAAAGAGCTCACAGGGCATGCACGTGAGCAGCACGAGACTGCCGAATATCATTATCCTCAAGGAATTTTCAGCAATGCAATGCCTGGCCTTCCCTGCTCCTCTCGTGTCAACTTCATTCACTTCTTTTCTTGGCTGACACGATATCACTTATATATATTCTGCCTTTTTTTTTTTAGAGAGAGAGAGTTACGTACGTGATTCTGAAAGGTTCGAAGGTGACCTGCCAGCTTTTAGAGTGTACAATGACATGTCCCTCACATTAAGTTAAATATTCTCTCCATGAAACAAACCTGAGAGAAGATCTCTCTATACCTAATACTCCGCTATTGAAACAAATAATTGACTATGTTATGAACACAGGTTTGAGAGAGTCTAATCCCAAAAAATTAGTATGTGAGGGAACAGGGCACCAATTTTTCTGACAGCTTCACATTGTGGTACTCTTCCGATCATTAATATAAGATTTATTTAACTAATTTGATTAGATTAAAAAGTTAGGTAAGTTAGTTAATTATAAGAAAAGTGACACATTTTTCCTAAAATACCATAATCATCTTTCTTAATATTCCCTCTCCTTCTTCTACTTGATTATGGTTGAAGAGTATCCGTAGGGGTAATGTAGAAAAAACTGATAAATATGAGAAATGAGTCTTATATTTAGAATCAAAACCAACTCAAGAATTAGGTTCTATATTAAAGATCGGAGGAGTATTTCATTGAACCTCATGCAAGTCAAATCCTTCTTGAATAGCCCTTTAATTTCCAAGGCCATTAGACCTGGTTTTACGTTCACTCAAATGATTCCACTGACTGCTTCATCAAAAGCAGCAAAAATTAAACTTCTTGTAATGAACTTGCGAAGAAGCTTAAACTAAAGACATATTGGGAATGAAATTAAGGGTCCATTTGGTACAAGAAAAAATTGAGAGGAGAGGAGGGAAAATTTTAACAAGCTCGATTTAAAAAATTAAAAAAGTAGGGTTAACAGATTTTAATTAATTTTTATTATTATTTTTATATTACTTCTTCTCTTTATTAAAATTTCAAAATCTGATTTCTCCAATTTTTTAAACAGAACTCATTAATTTTTTTCTTCCTCTCTCCTCCCCTCCATTTCCCACATAACAAACAGTAGCTAAGGAAAAAATGTGAAAAGAATCTGGTTTATCTTGATACCTTATTTAATTTATATCTTAATGCAGATCTATCCCTATAGAGATGTGTGTGTACCTTCTCACAACTAGGGTCCAGCTTTCAAGAGAGCATATGAGATTCGATGATTCATTCTTATCTTTCTTTTCTTTTCTTTTCCTACTTGTGGAGTGGGTGCTACGTTATTTTCCAGTTCTTGCTAAAAATGACACCTACTATATTCTTTTATCTGCACCTTTTAAGCTTTTTTCCCTTCCTCTCTCCCCCGCCCCCGCCGCTCTAAAAATTTGCAGGATTTTGATTCTCTGTAGTTTTAACCTGAGAATAATGTAATGTGTTTTGCATCAATTCCGATCGTCTAATCAATGCAGATATTCTAGATTTATATTTACCGGAATTTAACAAATCATTTTGAAAAAAAATATCGGCGACATCTAAATTAACTGAATGGTTATGTTTTACTTAAACGATACGGTTTTTCTCCCATCAACATAAGGAGGTGCATGAGATGTTGAATTTCATATTTATATTGATATAGTTACGATATACTTCTTCGGTCCTTAATATAAGACTAATTTAACTAATTTGATTAGATTAAGGAAGTTAGATAAATTAGTTAATTATAAGAAAAGTGACACATTTTTTTCTAAAACACTATAATCATCTTTCTTAATACCCCATCTCTTTTTTCTACTTGATTATGGTTGAGGGAATATCTATAGGGTAATTTAGAAAAAATAGATAAATATAAGAAATAAGTTTTATATTTAGGATCAAAACTAATTTAAAAATTAGATTCTCTGCTAAAAACCAGAAGAGTATAAGTATATAAAACATGAGGGAAAAGCACAAAGTTAAAATTGATAAATTACGCACAGATACAGAGAGAGTCCACGACTTCACCTTTTTTTTTAAAAAAAATATACTACATATATATATATATATATGTATATATATATTCTCGCCAAATCCAACACTCCCTCTAGTTGTTAATATCGAATCTTTTTACTTATTATCAAACCATAATTACAATTCTCAATCATGCTGTTCTCATAAATAACTCATACTGCTTTCAATCCTACTCAATTAATTCTCCAACGCTATTTCTAATCGGCCTCCTTAATGAGAATTTTTTTTAAAATAAAAAATAGTTAAATTAGCTATTTCTGATTACTATGGGCTTGCTTGGTTTCTTATTTTGAAAACAATTTTTTGCTTTTAAAAATAGAAAAACCAAAAACCTTGTTTGGTAATTTGTTTTTAGTTAATTGTTTTCAAAAACAAAAAATAGTAACATATTTTTAAAAACTAAAAAACCAAAACAACTTTTACATGTTTTTTTATTTTTTATTTTTAAAATTTTGAGAAATTTTTTTCTTTTCTCACCTACTATCTATCACATATCATTACCACTGATAACTATAATTTACCAAGTGTGGTTTTTTGTAGGTTTTTTTTTTCAAATATGATTTTTTAAAATTATTATCCAAACAAATTCTTTTGCCTTTTGTTTTCAAAACTTGTTCTAAGAAACAATTTTATAAAATTATTTTGAGAAGGAGAAAACAAAAAACAAAAACAAACAAGCCCTATGTATTTTTTCTTAAACTCTTTAATTATTTTTATTATAAACTATTTTCATTGATATGAAGGATAAAGAACTCTTTAATATTAAATATTATAAATTCCTGAGATAAAGAGAATCAATGTTAAATGATTTGTGATTTCATGGAGATTGATGTGGTCTTCCAGAAATTTTTTTTCCTCTTTTACTTTAATGGAGGGCTTGAAAGTTGCAAACGTTGTTGCAGCTTTAGCAACAAAGGGACTAGGCACTTTTGTGCAGCAAATCTTAGGATTACCACCTATATGGCCACTTTCTTATTTTGTGAAATATCAGGATTTGGCCATCATAATATTGAATTGCAAGCTATCATTAGAGGTCTTATTATTTTGATGTTTGCTCATCTTATTGCCACTATTGCTTTATTTACTTTCTGACCGTGGGATTCCAAATATGATCACCTCTAGTTACTGCTGGATGATGAGAGTGAGGCTATTGAGTATTGAGTATAGATTAGAAATTGTGAATTCAATAGGTGAGGCGTTGGCTGAAATATGTGAAAACTTGATCAATGATGATGTTTTGCTGGGGCAGAAGCTTGGGGGGAGTTTTGGTTGGTGCCATGCTTATATATCTCCTCCGGTTCATAATATAAGACCTTGTTTAATTTTTATTTTGATCCTAAATATAAGATTATAATTCACTTTATTTATCATATTTATGTATTTTTTTCTCAAAGTAATTCTTTTAACAATGATAGTTCTAGCCAGTATAATTAATCAGTAAAGATATTTTAGGAAAGACAATACCTATTTGTTATAAATAACTAACTTAACTTTTTTTCTTAATCTCCTCAAATTAGTTAACTAGCTCTTATAATGAGGATTATATTTGGCTCTATGCTTAATTATCTACTGCGAACGAAGCTTTGTCCACCCTTGTCACAAGAGAGTGTGCTATGACTGCAAATGGAAAAAACGATTTTGGCGCACACGGGGCTGAGTTTGATGAAGCAAGTTTTTTAACGATCACCTCATGTAAACCACTTGGATCGATGGTTCTTCCTGTATGGCAAAATGCTGAGATCACACAAACGAGAGTTCGATTTAGTAGAAGAGACTAGTTCATTACAACGTGGTATATTAATACTCGAATTCCTAATAGAAGAAGTATTTTCATTTTGTACCCGCAGCAAAAAAGAAAAAAACTGACTCTACATGTTGTCGTATGATTGTTTGCGGATGGTAGTTGTACGGTTTAGTTTTACTTAATAATACAACATAAGTTTTTTTTTGGAAAAAAATAAATTAAGATTTTATATTTATAATCAAAACAAAATTTTTACTCTTTTTTTAAATTTCATTTATAAGTCACTCCAACATGTTCTATTGAAACTAAAAAAAATTAAAATTTAACAAATTTTTAAATTGTTTAATAAAAAAATTAATAAAATAACTTTTCAATTTTATTTCTATTTTATATATATATATATTAAAAAAAACTGACATAATTTTTTTGGGCAAGAGCCCAACTTTTTTGAGGCCTGGGAGAGCCCAACTTGATTAAATGCTAGTTGCCCTAATTCTTTTGCCATTTGTTGATCGCGGGAGTTCTTGAGAGCGTTTTAAACGATCGCGGGAAATTTTCATTTCAAGACAAGGCGCGAAACACAGGGATTTGGTTATTATGCGTTAACGCTAAATTCCGATCAGCTCCTCACAATATTGATGTCGATTGTTTGTCCCTGCAGGTATACACTACTCCCATTTACCGAATGCTCTTCATTTCTCTGCTTTGTTCCCCTTGTCTTCTTAGCCGATTGGATCGCAATCATCACCGTTTTAATTTCTTTGGTTTTATTTTAGTCCAGTTTAATGGCTTACTGAGGGTATGCCCTGTTCATCTTATACCATCGTTTCTAAAGCACTGTAAGATATTTCTTTTGGGCTGCTCTATAGAAGTTGCTGAAGATCAGTTTTTGATCGTGGCTCTCCTGCCAGTGTCTATCACACTGTTGTGTTTGAGAATTATCCAAACCCAGAATCAGTGTTCAGTCAAATGGGTGCAAAACTTTTCTTTTGTTCTCTTCCTTGGCTGTCCATAAATAAAATGCGAAGATATCTAGTTTCAATTTCAGTGCTGCTCTATTGCTTCTCAGTAATTGAGCAAGGGATATATGTCCTAGTATTTCAGCTTTTATAATTCTGGATTTCGTTGCACAGGAATCTTGGATCTTTAGCTGTGCGAAGGTCACTGAGTTTTCAAAAGAAATTCTCGTACAAGTATTGTCCTTGGAAGATAAGAATGGAAACGAATTCTAGTCATAACATAGAAGACAGAAGAGTGGAACCTAGAGGTGCTTTGGTCGTCCTAGAAGGCTTGGATCGTTCTGGAAAGTCATCTCAAAGTAGCAGATTAGTTTCATACTTGGAGGGACAGGGGATCTCTGCTGAATTATGGAGGTTTCCTGACAGAAGTACGAATGTTGGGCAAATGATATCTTCCTATCTTACTAACGGGTCTCAATTGGATGATCATACCATTCATCTTCTCTTTAGTGCAAATCGTTGGGAGAAGAGGTTGGTCATTCTTCTTCTTCTTCTTTTTAAAATTGATCCACAGTCCTTGTTATCTAATTAATGTGCAGGACTTGATGTTTTTCAGTCAGGAAATATTTTATGCTATGTGTGTAGATTTTATTACTAATATACCGGAAAACATTTACCTTGAGGAAGGAGGACTGGGAGCAGAAAACTTGGTTGCAATGGTTTCTGAAGCCATAATCTTCGTATGAAGTTGGTCACTTAACGAGCCCTTCTTCCTCGACCAATCTTCCTTTTAGCACTTGGGTCCATGGCTTTTATATTAGGAGAATGGAATAGCTTGAGAGGAACAGAACAAATTCTTGATTCATGAAACTGGAATTGCTATATTAACTTGAAAGCGTGTGAAAGATTCTATGGAGAGTAGAATAGCATGAAAAGGAAGTCCTCTCTTTTGTTGCTAGAGAACATAGCTGGCACGAGAATCCCACCTGTGACGAGGAGAAATGTTATCATAATAACCTTAGAAGTCAAACAAGTAATTCTTTGTGATAACCATTGACCATTGTTTATGTAGATGAGAGCATACTTTGTTTCGTCATTGTTAGCATGACCCATGGTGTTGCAATGAACAATTTTGATCATCACATGCATGTGATCTATGATCATTGCAATGGATGGTTGGGGATGAGCTGGGAAATACATTGCATTTAGTTGGCTACATGGTTCTAGTGACCATACAGCAAAATTGTTGTGACGTTGATGATATCTGTCTAAGTACATTTTTTTTGGGGTTGGGGGGGGGGATATTAACTCATTGTTTTGAGCTTGTTAGGTGTTTACTTCCAGTCTAACACTTAGTGAATATGAAGCATAAAATCAAAGAAAGCAAGGGGGAGCGGGGGTGGTGAGCTATGAAGGGTTGAAAATGTTTTTTGTTTTTTGAACACTTCTCTAAAACTCTTGCTGCTTGTTGAATGTTGATAATGGATGAATATATGAAGCACGGGTTAGGCCAAAAAAGCTGCACTTATGCTAGGATTATATGGGACATGTTTGCATCGTAAATATGCTTAGATATGTACCTTGTATTTATTTAATCTTCAATCTTAAGTGGTGAGTCAGCACTGGCACAGAAGTAAGGGGACATGAAAAACAATGAGGAAATGGAAGCTTGAGGCATGATGATGGTAGGCATAAGCATAATGGGAAAGCAGGCAGCAATGGCATGGTAGGAACGACATCTATGCCATTAGCCTCAAAATGGGAGGAACACCAAAAGTAGTAGTGGCAATGGAGGCAGCATCATGCACAAGTATCTTTAACATCGTGGCAACACAGTAAGGATTAGGAATCTTGAAGCATGATGATGGTCATTATCCTTAAAGAAAATTCCCCTACAAATATCCTACAAGATCAAACAAGCGTTTATATTTTAATAGGTATTAGGGATCAACAGAGAGGATATTATGGCAACCCAACAGATAAGAGAGTATGAGATTAGTATTATATGCATATAATAAGCGGTTAGTAGCTCGAAGAAAATAGGAGCTTAACATTTAGCTGAAGTAAACATATGTGAGGAACGGCTAGCAGAGCAAAAATAGGAGAACAAAATCAGCCAAGGGATTTTGGCATTTAAATTGGTCAATTGTACTAGCTCAAGTAAGCGCCTGAATTAATCTTTTAACTTCATTGTCCTCTGAAATTCAAAAGGCGATATAATTTAAAATTAATTCTTGCGCTTGTGAAATCTAGTCCGATGACTGGCATGATAAAATGTTAAAACCCCCCCACTAATTTTCTTTCCCCATTTGTGCATCTTTACCAGTTCATCTCCTATATTATGATATGCTTATCTAATGAACTAAATCCCAAAACCTGGGTTTTTTTGCAGATCACTGATGGAAACCAAACTGAAAGCCGGAACAACCCTCATTGTTGACCGATATTCTTATTCTGGAGTGGCTTTCTCATCGTCCAAAGGACTTGACATTGAATGGTGTAAGGTGAAAAGTTCACATGACGATTAAGCCGGGCAGCAATCCATGTTAGAACAGACTAGGTAATGGCTACCTGTCTGGAAAGAAAACTGAATTTTATGTTTTGCAGGCACCTGAGGTTGGCTTGTTTGCTCCTGATGCTGTAATATTCCTTGACATATCACCAGAGGTGAGCATCTTTTCACATGATCTCTAAATAGTGGTTGTTAGGTTATGTTTTATTTAGGTTATGTTCGATACACCATCTTAAAGCTGAAGTCTTAGAATTTCTAGGTGTCTTTTTATACAATAAAAAAAATTCAAGCATCTATTTATCTCATCGCGTGAAACCTTGCTTATTTTCTGAAGTGTATATGTAATCTTACCACGCCGGATTTTTTCCCCCTGCTTTCCCCTCAAATACTATGGTACGTTATGCTCTTGCCCCTAGAAGTCTATGGGGGGCCCAAAAGGTGGCTTAAGTTAATTATTAGCGGTCTCCTAACTCTTGCTTGATGTCGACTGCGTCAGCCGATGGCACTGCATTTTGTGTAGATGATTTTTTTTTTTTTTTGGATGTCTTGTTTCACAGTTAGTTGGTTAGCATGTTGGATCCTGGTCCTTGCATGTAACTCATTTTTGGTTTATTTGTACTCCCTGTATATTGGAAATATGTCAGAAAGCTGCAGAGAGAGGAGGTTATGGGGGTGAGAGATATGAAAAGCTGGAGTTTCAAAGGAAAGTTGCTGAAAGCTACAAAGCTCTCCACGATGCCTCCTGGAAGGTAATTTACCGTTTTACATGGATTTCCCCCCAAAGCAAAATGCCTCTGTTTTTTAATGCTTTTCTGTGGCTGTCAATCTTGCACTATTGGCATGGTCATTTCCTTCATTCAGTTTCTCTTGGTTTGTATGTCTTGTATGCTTAGAAACAAAGTTAAATGTAATTTTTGACATGTGGAAGAGCTCTTTTGTAAGAGTCCACAGAATTTAAATAAATACCCTTGTATAATCATATACTTTTGTTACAAGACTTGATAACAATACCAACAGCATTTTGATCGGCTGGAAGGAAATCAATGCTTCTTAAGATAATATCTTGAGTCTTGTAAATGGAACCCAAAAAAAAAAAGAAAAAGAAAAAAGAAAGACTTGGGAAGGATAACCCTCGTTTGGGATTTGATAATATTTGAACCTGAATCTAGATTTATAAAGTGATTTATTTATAAGTAATGAATAGCGCAGCTCACTTCAAACTCTGGGTAAAGCATGTGATCCAGATTATTCTTATTGGTTGGCTGTATACCATATAGTTCTTTACAAAAAAATAAAAAAGGAAAATAATGATGATGATGATAATTGCTTAATGGATTGTTGCTTGGAGTCGTTTTTTTTTTTGGTGCGGTGGGGATGTCCACGCAAGTGTTTAATTTGCAAACTGGACCTTGTGTTTCTCATGATGCAGATTGTAGATGCTTGCCAATCCATAGAAGATGTGGAGAAACAGCTGCATGGTATAGTACTTGAAAGTGTCATGGAATGTCGGAAGGGGAAGCCCCTTTCCCATTTGTGGCCTCTATAGGTGTCTCTCCTCTTGGCAGCATACCCGATAATTTCTGAAAAACCAAATCCAATCAAATTGTCCAAGTATATAAAATTTCTAAAAGACGTGGTTTGATTCTCTGCACAAGGGGATTGTTGTGCAGAGCCTACACAGTGGGGATCCAACGGCCATAAATTATTTTCTTGATCCAATGTCCACATAAGTGTTATGTAAACCGTATGATCTTTTAGATCAATACAGACCGTTGATTTTCCACTGCGTAGACTCTGCACGCCAAACCGAACTTACAGACGCACTGAGACACCCAATCTCAGTCCTCGAACGATTCGCTGAATCTATTTTGAATGCAAAAAGGTGTAATCCTTAATGTTATCGTCAAGAATTTGTTTGCTTGGATTAAAGGCTTATTAGTTTGTGATCTTGTTCATGTTTAAAACTATAAAAGGATCCTTCAATTTTGATTCGAAGGAGTCCACTGAGTCTTGCTTTTTTTTTTTTTTTCTTTTTGGGAATGAAACTGAATAACAATTCTCAGAAGAAGAAAATGAAAGAGATCAAGAGCCTTAATTTGATACGCAGCTTATGCTGGAGCTTTTGGTAAAAACCAGATGATGGCAGCTTAAAACTTGTGGACTGCTGTGCATACACATATATTTCTTTCTTTCTTTCTTTTTTTGGCTTCTCCCATACATTTTTTTTTTGCCTGATCTCCCAAACATTTCTTATAATCCTTATTACAAGGTGATTCTAATTATTTTATTGGAACAGCTTTGATGTTAAGCTATTAGTTGTCTGAAAATGAAATAAATTTTCTATTTTATCCATAATTAAATGAAAATATTCAAATCGACATTTTATTTTCTCATAATGAATATATATATATATAATTGGTCAAAATTGTTAGGGTATAGACTTTCAAAGTCATTTTGATCCTTTGAAGTTCAAACAGCTTTTACTTTTTCTCAGTCAGTAATGTGAACGTTTGAATTTCATGGTCTGAAGGTTCGTCCGAATAAAGCGCATGTGGATAAAGATGATATTGGTGTTTGGGGATTATCGGCTGCATGTCTTTAAAAATAAAAGGGTTAAGAATATTTTATCCTAAAATATCCGCAAAAAAATTGTCGGTATTTGAAAATATCCGCAAAAAACCAACATTGGTTACATTTTTTTATAGAAATGATGACATTGCCTGTTTTTCATCACTCTCTTTCAGATGCCTATGACTCCTTCATGAATTATTTTAGGACAAAAATAATTCTAAATCCAAAATAAAATGATTTAAATGGGTCTTCAAATATTTCAAATTAAAATTGTTTTTGCTGTTAGAAAACTTAATCAATCCTTTTGATCGACTTTAAACGGTTTTATCAATAATTGGACAATATTTGTAATAGAAGAATTTAAGATTTTTATATTTTATTATTTAGGACCAAAAAGGCATTTGTTTCTTAAATAACGAAATTGAAACGCCTCTACTAGCCCCTTCAACCAATCATTTCGCATTTGGTCATTTAATTTTGTATTATTGATAAATTCGTTAATTTATAGGTTGAAAAGTGACATCTAAAACTAATAAATCTTCAATACGCGTGTCGTTGCATTTTTTTTCTTTTAAATTTTTTCCTCTCCCTTCTGAGACTAATGAAGTGTAAATTCTTATGCCCAAATTGAAATAATCGATTGCTTTAAAATTCTTGCTTTCCTTCTTAGTTTGACTTGCGAAATTTTGTCCCTTTCATTTCCTGACGAGCCGACTAAGTTGAATTAGACTGACAATTCATTTCATGCATGGATACAATGGATCGTCATAAAAAAAAATTAATTCCAAAAATAAATGGTGAATAATATTCCAGTTTATCCATAAAAATTGTAAAGACTCATAAATAATATGATTTATTTCAATTGACAAATTCTATATAAGTTTATAAACAAATATTGATGAATGAACAATGAACATCTTTTCATCTTGATGACCAAACATAAGTTTATAATAAACAAATATTGATGAATAGGCACAACAAATTATCAGCATAACTTCAAAAACACTGCATAATTTTCCTACCACAAAAAATTGTCATACTAAAACCCATAAGAAGAAGGTATTTAAAAAGGGATTAGAGATTGAAGCGCTATGGCTCTCTGGATTAGTAGTGGGGAAAATAATTGTTAAATCAATTTAATTTATATTTATGATTTTGAGAATATATTTTGTTGAGTTGGCATACATGACTTAACAAAACTAAGGATTTAGGCTAAAATTAATTTTAACATTTTAAGGCGTGTTTGAATTTTTTTTGAAGAAAACCATAGTTTTGTTAATTTTGAATAAAATCCAAACAAATACTTAATCGAAATTTGCTGATAGAGCATGTGTCGTGAGTTTTTGGGTACCAATTATCAATTGTAACTCCTTCCGATATAACCAATTCGTGCCACAATATCTTATAAGCATGTGATTAGGAGAATATTCTTTTTGAAAAACTGGAACTTGGCAAAAAGTCTCTCTTGAAAAAATTTTACTAACCAGAAAAACATGATATATTTTTATACACAAAAAGTACAAGTATTTTATAAAATTTCATATGCAGAAAGTAACAGCATTCTAATTCGGGCCTTTCTTACTACTACAAAAATTCCCAAATGGGAATTTCTTACCAGTTTTTTCAAAATTTATTTGGTTCAAATAATCATACTTAGTAGGTGTTTGGAAGCAGCTAAAAAAAATATTTTTATATTTTACAAGACAAAACATATGTCATGTATACTCAATATCATTTGAAATAAGTTAATCCAAGTATCCTTTAATCCATTTTTCAAAAAAAAAATCATCTATAAAACGATTGTTTAACATTCTAATTCTAGGACTTTTTGAAATTTCTTTTCTAAAACAAAGATATTAATTTTCAATGTTAAATACAAAAAGGTTTAATAATGAAGGGTATTATGGGAATATTAACATAAAGAGTCTTTCTCAGTGCTTAGGAGTCCTGAAGTTAGATTTCTAAGAACTTATAACACTCGATTCATTTAAGATAGTTGTTACTACTTACTAAATCTAAGTTTACTTTGCTCGCTTATAAGATATTTCTAATTATTTCAATAGTTAAAAAGAAATTATATTAAGCCATTAGCTTTGTTTGAAATTGAAAAAAAATTGAATTTTGCTCATATTTAAACCCTTGCATTGAAAAAATAATTGATGTTTTTTTTTTCATTTGTATTAGATTGTTTCTCATAATTGATGATTTAAAATACAGGCAACATTGTAATTTTGCTTGTTTAACATTTAATTCTCTAAGAAGATGAAATTATTTTTTAAATACAAATGTTAATTGCATCAAAATTGGCTAAAAAATAATTTCTAATGCCAAAAACATTTTCCCAGTAGTTCCATGTTTATGAGATTGTTATTTTCAGAACATTAATATAAAATATATGGGGAGTTCATCTCTCCAAAAATCATATTTTGAATTTTTTGGGAGCTGGTCTGTTAGGGCTAAACAGGGAGATTCTTGAGGAGCAATAAAAATACAAGCCCTAGTCTTTTCTACTTTCCAAACGAGCTAGTGGAAGCAGTCCTAAGTCTCTGAGCTTAATTCACTGAAAAATTAAGTTCCCGAAAGTTACGAAAATTTTTCGCCAAAAACAATTTCTCTGAAAAATAACTTTTCTTAATATTTATTGTATATTTTAAAACTTAGCCCTACAAAATTATAAAATAAATTCAATAAAAAAGCTCTATTTTAGCATTTAAAATAATATATTTATTTAAAAGCGCTCTAAACTTTTTAGGAAGTTGAAAAAAAAACAAGTATAAATTTTGTTGCTTTAAAGAAAAAGGCCCGATAGATTTTGCTGAGAACCAAGCTGACCCCTTATAATTTTTTTAACAATATAAAAATAAATCATATAATTCTTTAAGTTTTACTTCCCCATAACTTTCATCACAGCAAGCAATACTTTTTTCAAACAAGGATCATAATTTCTTAACAAAAAAGTGATTTCTTCATCAGAAAAAGCTAAACAGGTAATTTTCTAATAAAAAAAAATCCATATAGTATTTAATTTGTAAACATGCATTGATTTACCAATTCAAGCAAGTGAATCCAAATCATTAATACACACACGAGTGCATTAATAATAATTGGAAGAGGGGGCAATATTCATAAGTGATAAATAGATATTCATGCAACTAATTTATGTTTCATTTTAAATGCATGAACTATCTCTTATATTAAGTAAAATCATCAATATATTTATAAAAAAAATAATAAATTACTGAACGCGCCACCGACCTCCGATTTCACGCAAAACCTTAACGAGGTGGATCACAAAATCATGAAAAGTATAATTATAATTAGAATAAATTGGGCCGAAAACAAAACTAACCGCAGAAGTATCGGGCGCAATTGATCACCATGTAGTGGCACGAACGTAAATTATTGGAAAGTCGCGCCTTTTTTCTGAAAATGACAATCCGGTTTCGTCACCATCTATGTCGATGCACTGCTTCTTCATAAATCATACGGTGAAGGCGCGAAGCCATAAAAGGCTGTTCTTTGCTCTTCCTATGCTATTTCTCACTACGAGTGTCGTTGTGTCTTTTTCTTTCTTTTCCTGCCCGAAAAGATTTTTTTCCCCCCCGCATGAGATCAAACCGATTTACCTTTAAATTTCAGTGGCTAAGTCGCTTATAGTGGGGGTTGATTCCTCCGGGAAGAAACTTTTCACTTCAAGCTCTATAATGAGCCGATCAATCGAGCTGCCGCCGCTGCCCCAATATTCGTTTCGGAATTCCAAGTCCTTTTCTCTCTCTATTATTGTTGTTTTTGTTTTTATTATTATTTCGTCCCATGAAACCCGCATGAACACTCTCTCCTCACACTTTCGCAGAATCTTTTGTGTTTTCTTTTCGCTCTAAGCAGGAGGAGAGTATATTCAGGTAGCAATTCGGTGTTGATGGACCCTGAGGTTGTGGAAATTCCTCCCCCAATTCATCGCCCTACGAAACTGATGAAACAGAAGGTAGAACCGGTCTGTAAAGTACATGTTTTCTGACAAATTTCGGATGTTTTTGCTTCATGGGTCTGAAAAATTGTGCAAATATTTTATCTTTCTGTTATGGGTGTTCAGAATTTATGTCGATTGCTAATGCTTTGTGTTGACCCGTAATTCATCTTTGCTATGAATTCGTAGTCACGGTCCCCAAATTTTCTCGCTTTATATTTATGGTCGCTATGTGTGAACTTTGTTTAATCTATTATTGCCAGGGACGTCTTGAAATGAGTTGAATTAGTGAGTTGAGAATGCTTGATCGTACCACTGGAAGTTCTGGGCATTTGTTGAAAGTTCCCAGTATTGTTCGCCTG